AGAGAAAGATGGAAAAAGACGGTTTTTTGAAGGCCCTAGACTCGAATTTAACTGTTTTTAGCATCACATCCTAGCATTTTTTGTACTGCTCGGCTAGGGTTGTCGAAGTGATTAAAATCTATTCTATTCTAGTCATTCTAGCAACTTTAGTTTGCGGGAATAAGATCCACATGTATCATTTTTTGCAATATGCATAAGAAATGCGGATTTCAACATTTTCTTTGAATTTTAACTTTGAATTGTAACTTGTGTATTGAATTTTGACTAACTGCAGAGCAGTTAGCAAAAAACACAAAATTAACTTTGGGAAATTCAAGATTGGGAATGCTAGCAAGTAGTAATGCTTGGTACTGGGCACTAGACTTTTAACAAAAAGATCTGTCGGCCCTTTTTGCCATTGGCAATTTAAGGTTTTTCATGTTTTTCTCAGCACCAACCCTTTGATTTTGATTATTTTGACTATCATTCGATGCAGAATGAAATTGCGCGTCGAATGATACCAAAATCAACTCTAGGTATAATATCCATGCAAAGTTATGTGGCAAAAGGTTAAGTCCAGCTCATGATGGGCGGGGTTTAGGTTTTTAGCTAACAACTTTACATGGAAATTACACGGCTAACACAATAGACACAATAGACTGTAACGAAAACATCTGTCGGTTCTTTTTTGCCCTTGCCAATTGAAGGTTTTTTGTGTTTTCCTCGGCAACAACCCTTTGATTTTGACTATCATTTAATGCTAAATAAAATTGCGTTCTCTATAACGACACCTCTATATAACGTCAGTCTGATCCCGGTCTCGAGGGGTGTCGTTATTAGAGACATTTGACTGTATGTAAATCTGTGGAGATTCGAAAGTTCAGAGCCCGCTTCAAAGCCAAGATCAAAGAAAAACTGTTTATCGATTCGAATTCATTAGTCTCTCCCAAAGAAATCATAAATCAGTCATAGAAAACCACTCAAAGCAAGGGTTTCTTCTCGTTTTTCTTTCCTTTCTCACAAATACGGCAAGGTGTTTAGCAATTAGGGATCTGATGTGGAAATGAAATGGACTAAAAGTCATAAAAACGAACTAGAACTTGCTTTCTTGTCACTCTTTCAGACGACTTTCTCTAGTTTTTTAATGATCTCCGAGTTATCAGAACTTTCACTCCACGAGCTTGAGCAAATACTTTTTTGAGCAGGAAGTTCAAGTCAGCAAAAAACGATGCGATTCGGATACCAAATGAACATCAGCTTCAAATCTTTAACAAATAGATGTCTGTAAGTTTGTTCTTGACTTTGGCTTTGTCTTTAAAAGACTTTAAAAGACTTTGAAACCTCTCCAGCTGAACAGTTGAAAATATACACTCATTCCCTAGGAATCCATTTGATAGCATTAGCGCCAGCCTTTCCCAATATGGATTAGCGGTTTTCTTTTCCATTATTCCAAAACCGGATCCTTTATGTCCTGACAGCGCTCATCTCTTTGCCTTTCTATAGTGACACAACCGATTTCTCAATGACCTGCTGATTTGGCAGCCGGTTAGAGCTAATGGTTGTTGGTTTTTGGAAAGAAAAGAAAAGCAAAGAACACAAAATGAACTTTGGGAAATTCGAGATTGGGAATGCTAGCAAGTAATAATGCTTGATACTGGGTACTAGACTTTTAACGAAAACATCTGTCAGTCCCTTTTTGATTATATTTTGAGTTGATTTTGGTATGATTCGACGCGCAATTTTATCCTGCATCAAATGATAGTCAAAATAGTCAAAATCGAATGTTTGGTGCTGAGAAAAACACAAAAAATCTTCAATTGCCAACGGCAAAAAAGGACTGAGATGTTTTCATTACAAGTCTATTGTGTTAGCCGTCTTGATGGCCTCAAAATTCAAAAACTGATAACGGATTTGGATTCCTCAGCATAGAAAACCCTCGAAAACAAAGTTTCAAGTGGTAGTTTTCAAAAAACACGAATGTGCCAAACACAAGTTGATCAAAGTTCTTACAATAGATACAGTTCGTTGCAGTTTGCCTAGTACTTAAGCAACAAGACTGAAAATGTCTTGAATGTTTTCTTGAAGTTTCAAACCCTGGTCCCAAGTGGTTGTTTTCCAAAAAGACACCAATGTGCAAAACGCAATTCGATCAACGTCCTTACAATAAAAGATACAGTAAGATCTGTTCGTTACAGTATACAAAGAAGAATAGCTACAGTAAGTAAGCTACAGTAAGCTACAGTTATATACAACCAGATTGCTGCGGATTATCACTTGCAGTTAATTCACAAATAAGACAAAGAAATGAAGCAAAGGACGTGTCTCAGTGCAGAGCACAGACCTTTCCAACAATCAATGAAACAGCTCACTATGATACAATCCAAATATCACTTTAAAGAATCGGTACTATCCAGTTTTATCCGCCAAATTTTCATCCGGGGAGAGCGAACTGTTGGTTCTCCCCAGAGCTCAGTTAAACGAATAGTTTACCCTATACTTTATGCTAATTTCTGGAAAGTACAATTTGATCAACGTTCTTACAATAAAAGATACCGAATAGTTTCGTTTAACTGAGCTCTGGGGAGAGCCAACTGTTGACAAAATTTTAGATGAAAATTTGGCGGATAAAATTGGATAGTACCGATTCTTTAAAGTCATATTTGGATTGTATTATAGTGAGCTGTTTTATTGATCATTGGAAAGGTCTGTATTGATAAGCAATAAGCATTATTGATCATTGGAAAGGTCTCACCTTGTACTTTATGCTAATTTCTGGAAAGTACCAAAAAATGTCACTAGGATTTTGGAAAACTGAAAAGTGAAACCGCAATTTCTTTAAGCTTTGTGGAACGATTGTTTAGATTTTTTCGTATAATAAAACCTGTCAAAAAGCTTGTCAAAAACAGCCAAAAACAGTCAAAACTTGTTCTATTCTTTTATGTTGTACACAATGTTCTTTAGAGTAATGAAATGTCAAAAAATGTCACTAGGATTTTGGAAAATTGAAAAGTGAAACCGCAATTTCTGTAAGCTTTGTGGTTTAGCGATCATTTTAATGACCCTCTCAAAATCGAGGAAAAAATCTTGATCTTAATGTCTTTTTTCTGAAAATGGGATTAGCTATGAGGTCTGCCAATGAGCGAGAATAAAACCCGGTTTGTTGTTATGCAAATTTTGCCCCTTCTCCCGCTCATTCCTTCTTCTCAGATTTCAATCTGTGACATGGAAAATATTTTTTTTTTCAGTTGTTCCGATGAACTCAAATATCTCATCTCACCATCGCTTCTTTAGTGTTTTTAAGAATTTCCGTCTTTTTGCTTCGCTTGATTGATTTGCTTTTGCAAGTGATGACTTTGAAAGGTTGAACATTGGAAATTGCTTTTTTTGACATTAGAGCTTTATATATAAACTCAAATGTGAATTTTATTTCAAAACTTTGACGATCGTAACGATAACGATCGGTCTTGTTGTTAAAAATTGACTCTATGGCCTTATTGGGCTTTCCAGAATCAATCTCAAACTGTGAAGCAATGATTAACAATAACCATAAACCAAATTTAGCAAATCTGACGGCAAATTTTACAGAACTTAGAATCTTTAAACAATAGTAGTCTCTCAAACTGTGAAGATCAATGACCTCATAAAAATTAGGTATAACAGAAGCAAAAGATCTACCCAGCTACAATATTCTTATATATTAAATATTGCAATATTAAAGTGCAATATTAAAGTTAAAAGTCTCAGTTACAATATTGTTTTCTAGTCAAAGTATGCTGGAAGTCAACCGAAACTTTTCTTTTAGCTACTACTATTTTTTAGAGATGCGAAGGTTTCGTGTTTGTTTAGAGATTGCTATTGTTTAAAGATTCTAAGTTCTGTCAGATTTGCCAGATTTGGGCTTTCCAGAATCAATAGAATCAATCTAAAACGTCAAAAACTGTCAGATTTGTTAAATTTAGTTTATGGTTATTGTTAATCATTGCTTCACAGTTTTAGATTGATTCTATTGATTCTGGAAAGCCCAATAAGGCCATAGAGCCAATTTTTAACAACAAGAACGATCGTCATCGTTACGATCGTCAAAGTTTTGAAATAAAATTCACATTTGAGTCTAGATATAGAGCTTTAATGTCAAAAAAAGCAATTTCCAATGTTTAACCTTTGCATTTTTTCAATTCTAAGCTAAAAAGTGATAAAGAGATTTCCATTAGAATCAAAAACAATTTACTTCTACTAGTTGACTGTCATTCTTGTGTCATTCTTGTCAAAACTACAAAATTACAGCTTTAAGTCAGCTCAAAGCACCAGCAATCATTTCAAAGAATGACAGTCAATCTTCTACTAAGATACTAGTTTTTTTGTTACCAATAAAAATCGAAGGAAAATGATTGCTCTTTACTCATTCTAAACACTAAATAACTAAGCATAAAGGTTATTTTATCCATTAAAGTCTAACAAACTATTGCTCATAAGATAAAATATCATTTGCGGTTTAGATTTTCCAACCGATCCCCCATATAATTGTTGTGTGCATTTCCGTGAAGGGTTTCCCCGTCACAAAACGATGACATTTTCGATCCAGTCTTTCTTGACGCGAGATTTACTCTCTTTCCTTTTTTTTTGGCTTCTTTTTCTAACCAGCCAGCCAACCAAAGCCTTTATTTTCAGCTCTCTCTTTTCATAAAGAGATTTAAATCTTTGGCAAGAGCTCAACAACGATAACAATGAGAATTTACACACAAAAAAAACGATTTGACCCATTGGAGAACCATTGTTTAGATTTTTTTATAATAAAACCTGTCAAAAAGCTTGTAAAAGCTTCTCAAAAACAGTCAAAAACAGTCAAAAACTGTCAAAACTTGTTCTATTCTCTTCTGTTGTACACAATGTTCTTTAGAGTAATGAATAACAATTTAAAGCTTGAAGAATTGAAAAACTGTATTGAAACACTGTGTTTAACGTTGAAAATAAGAAAAATTCAATCTTTGTTCTGAGAAACATTGCTAGAACTCGTTCTAGAGATGAGAATCGAGTTGTGCTTGATCTCGCTTTTGAGCATCGTCGAATTGGCGTTTGGTTGTGCCCGTACACAGCCTCCTTGTGAGTTTTATCATGAGAACAAGATCACAGTATAAGATCACAAGAATAAGATCACGCAAGATCACCAGATCACAAGAATAAGATCACAAGTCATAGGGTTTATGCTGATTCACCCACACCAATATCATCCCACAATTTATCATGAAAAAGCCCATGGCAGCACTGTTGTTTTGCGTTTTGAGAAATTCTCAATAGCCTTCACACATTGTTTCAAGTTCCAAACAAATCGTTAATCGAAAAACTTACTTTACAAGTCGAATAATCTAACCAGAAAGCCCTTTGAAGTTACATTTCAGATGCGATCTGATGCAAAAACGGCAATAACGGCAAAAAATAATTAACGACATCCCAAAACTGCCTTCAATTCCTACTTATCATAAGCCGTTTTCGAAATCTAAGCCTTCAAAGTTCCAGCCAATTTCGTCAAACAGCAAGCTAGCCTACTTAAAGCCTTGGCGTTGATTCATTGGTGTGCCTCGGTAGCCTAACTTAAAGCCTTAGCGCTGATCAATCCGTGTGCCAGGTAGCCTGGATAATGTGCTAACGCCTCGTACTTTTTTTGGGTTGTAGTTAAAACAGCGCCAAATAGAAAACGTTCAAAACAGCGCTTGGTTTTTTGGATTGCGAGAAATTTGACGGGGTTGTTTTAACGACATCCCAAAAAAGTACGAGGCACTAGCACATTATCCAGGCTACCGAGGCACACGGATTGATCGACGCTAAGGCTTTAAGTAGGCTAGCTTGCTGCTTGATGAAATTGGCTGGAACTTTGAAGGCTTAGTTTTCGAAAACGGCTTATGATAAGTAGGATTTGGAATGCTTTTAACTAAGGGCTTTGCATCAGATCAGATTTTGCAGGCTTATTGCAGGCTTTTTGCATCAGATCGCACCTAAAATATAACTTCAAAGAGTTTCCTAATGCTTATCTTTGAAAGACATAAATCTTGAAAGACTTTGAAGATTCAGAGATTGATGAGTGATGCTCAACGACCGATTCACCGAGCAATCAACCCAGAAAGTTCAATATAACATCACCAGTGATCACCGGAAACTAAATTACACTTCTGAAGCACAAAACTCATTTTAAATTTTGTTTTACAAAATGACAAGCATCGAGAAAAAAAGATTGGCAATCTAACTTTGAGCTCAAATTTCTTGGTGTTGGGTTGTCCAATTGAAATAGTTTTTGTATTATTAGATGCGCCAAGTCTTTCTCTATCGATTGGTACAAATACTATTTAAATTGGACAGCCCAACACCAAGAAATTTGAGCTCAAGGTTGGATTGCCAATGGCAAAGGGGGGGGGGCGTATAAAAGGTCTTTCTGGCCCCGCCCCTTTTGCCAATCTAACTTTGAACTCTACCTAATATCTAACTTGAACTTTAGCCACGACGACAACAACAAAAACGCCTACAAAAACAACGACCACAAGAAAAACGACGGTTAGCCATCAATAAATTATCATTTAATGAGAAAAGAATTTAGACTACGACTCCAGCACCAACGGGTATCAATTTTATTCAATAATCTCTATCTCAAAACATTTAGCTTGTTCAAAGTGCACAAAATCGATGGTGGCAATTGATACGACGTCCACGGAAACTGGTCCTTTTACATCGGGTTTGTAAGACGGAAAATGTGTTTTAAACTGTTTTAAACTGTTTTCAACTGTTTTAAACTGTTCTAAGCCTGGTTCTAAGCCTACTTCTAAGCCGATCTCTTTATTTTTAAAGTCAATATCTTTTCAGAAGTCCAAGGGAAAGATGCTAATGGCTGTGCAACGTTGACGTTCACTTGTACTTCGACGGCTCCTGGTGGTTTCCAAGCTGTCATTACGGTAGGAATACTTGAATTTTCAAACAAAAAACGATATCTTATCTTTTTAAAGGCCATTCTAAGAGGCTATTCCTCTTAGAATGAAGGCTAAAACTTTGAAGAAAGATGGCTCTTAAGCTATGCAAGTTCTCAAATCTCGAGTCTTTCCAGGAACACGTAATTTCTAATTTAGCTCTGTCCTAAAAGCTCTTTAGCTTTAGCTCTTTAGCGATACTTTAGCTCTTCAAAGTCTCTAAATTTTTAGTTTAACAAAATATCAAGTGTTACTGGAACGCCGACAGCTAGCGCCGAGTTGATCTGTTCGTCGACGGGTGACGTGTGGACGTTCTCATCACGGGGAGAAACGGAAGACATTACAACAATTTCGTGCTCAGCTGTTACTTGTGCCTCCAATCCATCAGTATGCCCTTGATAAGATTAACTCCTAAATTCAATATACTCACAAGGGAATGTCAACTGGGTGTAGTGGTTAAATGACATGTGCCATAATTGATGCAGAATCCAACGCTGATTCCGAAGCTGCTTTCCGTTCAGCTGTCCTTTTCTGATATGGAGCACGCTATCAAAAGTAAAACTTTGCAAATCCAAAAGAGCAAATGGGAAGAGCAGAGGGATGGACTCGAACTCGAACCCACTACAACTCAGCCACCACCGCCTCCCAAACACCTTTGGAAAATCTCTAGAAAACCTTTGGAAAGCCTCTGGGAAATCTGCTTATAAACTCTGTTTTATATATACAAAACTATACAAAACTTTGCATGTTTATAACTTTTGACATAGTGCTTCATAGCAGAAACGGAAAGCAGCTTCGGAATCGGCGTTAAATTCTGCATTGAATAGTCTGTAGCACATGTAATTTAACCACTACACTCAGTTGACATTCCCTTGTCAGCTCATTTTAATCGATCTCTTTCGTTTTTGCTCAGATTTTCTTCGAGTTTTCTTTGTAACAAAGAAAAGCATAAGAATAAACTATTTTCCTTATGAATTAGCTTATTTAGTTTCATTTTGTGATAGTTTTTTTTTGTGATAGAATTTTTAAAAAAGATTGTTTTAGAGAATTAGCAGCAAATGAATTTTTAACTTAAAATCTTCATTTGAACATATCATTTCCTCTGAAGTGATGAGTTTTCGAAAAGGAATTCAATTTAGAAAGCTACCGTACTCAAAAATCCAGCTTTCAGCACGTACCGAACTCAAATTTTGGGAGTGGGACAAATGCGACCTTTTTTTACGCACCTTTTTTTTGCTGGAAAAGGCCTTAGGAAAGGTCGTAGAGCTTCAAAAATGTTTTCATAGAAGGGAACCGTATACGTAGATTCCGAATTTCGACAAATCAGACCTCGCTGACACGTCAAATTTGGGCTAAAAGGCAAAAACTGCGGAAAAGCGTTAAGTTGCGTAGTTTTTGCCTTTTAGCCCAAATTTGACGTGTCAGCGAGGTCTGATTTGTCGAAATTCGGAATCTACGTATACGATTCCCTTCTATGAAAACATTTTTGAAGCTCTACGACCTTTCCTAAGGCCTTTTCCAGCAAAAAAAAGGTGCGCAAATGTCCAGGTGCGCAAAAAAAGGTAGCATTTGTCCCACCCCCCTGTTATGTCAAAATTTGAATTCTACGCCCTCAAATTACCTAGAAAAACAACATTTTGAATAGAAATTGGTTAATATTAGCTTTTTAGAGCTTTTTAAAACGCGAAAAAGGGTGTGCTAATGGGCAAGGTGCGGAAAAAAGGTGCGCAAATGTCCGAGTGCGCAAAAAAAGGTCGCATTTGTCCCACTCCCCAAATTTTCACTGTTTAGAGCACTTATTCAGTATTCAATCCTCAGCAAAACTTCTCAATCAGATATTAAACTTTGAGTGATAAAAAGAAAGCTTTCAGCTACAGCTTTGAATACAGTAACTTTCTAAAATACTTTTAGACGGCTTTTAGACGGCTTTTAAACTTAACAGATTTTGAAATTTGAAATAAATATGAATTCCCATGTTATAAACAAACCAAATCACATATTGGAAGACATGATTTTTTCACTTTCTCCTTCATTCTTTTACCTTTTTCTTCGTTATCCCAAATTCATGTTAGCGACTAATTTCCCCATAGCTTTTTTCTGCATAAAAGCTTTTTTCTACTCAGCGATCATCGTCTTTTTTCACACCAAAAATTGGCATGAAAATTTCGCTGAAAATTCTGATTTTTCTTTGTTTTATTGATTTTCTTTATATTGATGCATGCTTGAGGACACAAAGTGAGTTTTTTTTTGCTAAATTAGCCGTCGTAGCCGATCAGATAGGAGTCTTGTCTCCTAGTTGGTGGGTTAAGGGTTCGATCCCCGGATTGCTAGAAAGATTGCTTCTTTTTCCCATTATTATGGGTTTTTTTCTTAACAACATTTGGGTAATAGGAGTACCCTAAAGTCGCGAGTATAAGTTCTGTTTGGTTTTCGCATGCAAATTGACGGCTGTCTCCGGTGCGGTGTGTCGAGGGTTCGAACCCCGCTGCAGCATAACTTTTTTGCCTTTTAAGAACAATAATAGAAGTAAATTTATTGAGGGTTATAGTAATTTTATGCTGTTATTTGTTGCTCCGGGCGTGGCTCGGCCCTGGCCCTGGCCGTGGCTCGGCGCGTCCGCCCTGCTCCTCTCCGGTGCTCAGTCTTATGGATCCCTCCCTGGCCTCTTCATCCGGCCAAAGTCCACGTCGACGGTCGAAAGAGATGCTTTCCAGCGTCTTCTTTAACACTATCGTCTGGATGTATCCATGCACATAACAAATAGCAATGGTGATAGGCTGTAGTATCCCGCGTAGTATCCGGTAGTATCCCGCGCTCCAAGAAAAATAATAAAAGTTTATATAACAATAAAAATGTATAAAAACCCAACAAAAAGAAATTCAAAGCAATTAAAGCGAATCTAAATTAAGGCAGAACTTATACTCGAGACTTTAGGGTAATTTGGGGTAAAAATTTCCTCCTTTATGTTATAATTCATTATTCGTGTTGAATAAATATACTTTTAAATGATGTTAGTTGGAGTTCGTTTGAATGTGATTTTTCAGTAGGTTTCGATTAAGGGCACAAATTTCACATTTCCATTTGGAAAGCATGTTTCTTGGTGATTTTTTTGACACAATTTACGCTATAATAGGCTTTATTACTTACTGTAAATACTGTAATAGTACCCCACCCCCCTCGTACAGTCGCGTAGTCGCAAAAGTTTTTTAGTATTTCATTTTTTTCAAAGCGCCCCTACTTTCAAAAAATGCGTCTTTGGTATCAAAAAATTGCTGAAATTCAGGGCTATTTTTTGATACCTAAGCGCTCATTGTAGCATAAACCAGTGTCGAGAAAAACTCGTTCAAAGCTAGACTACGCAACGCTCCGCACCGTCATTATGGGGGTGGGGTACTATTACAGTAGTTACGGTATCTTATTACTAATAGTTTATTGGGAAACTCTGGGCAAAATATGTTAGAATTGTTGGAGCAGAAAACACAGTAATACAAATCCAAATTTGTATTTAAATTTTGTCCCCTTATGGTTCCTTTTTAATTGTGATGGCAAAAACAGCATAAATTTTGTTCCACTAATCGAAAAGTACCGATTTTTCTTCGAAAAATGACTTTTTAGCTACAACAACCACAACTACAACCACAACAACAACGGTGGGTTTTTGAGTTTGAATAAAAACAGAAATCGATTGGCAATCTCTTTGCCATTGGCAATCTAACTTTGAGTCGAAATTTCTTGGTGTTGGGCGGTCCAATTTAAATATTCTTGGCATCATTGATGTGCCAAGACTTTCTCTATCGATTGGTACAAAAACTATTTAAATTGGAAAGCCCAACACCAAGATATTTGAGCTCAAAGTTGGATTGGCAAAAGGGGCGGGGCCAGAAAGACCTTTTATACGCCCCCCCCCCTTTGCCATTGGCAATCCAACCTTGAGCTCAAATATCTTTGGGTTGTCCAATTGAAACATTCTTGGCATCAATAGATGCGCCAAGTCTTTCTCTATCGATTGGTACAAAAACTATTTAAATTGGACAGCCCAACACCAAGATATTTGAGCTCAAAGTTGGATTGGCAAAAGGGGCGGGGCCAGAAAGACCTTTTATACGCCCCCCCCTTTGCCATTGGCAATCCAACCTTGAGCTCAAATTTCTTGGTGTTGGGTTGTTCAATTTAAATATTATTTGTACCAATCGATAGAGAAAGACTTGGCGCATCTAATGATACAAAAACTATTTAAATTGGACAACCCAACACCAAGAAATTTGAGCTCAAAGTTGGATTGCCAATGGCAAAAAGAGCGCGCCGCGTATCAAATGTCCGATAACCTATTCATAGTGCTATAGTAAGATTTCAATTCAGAATCCGGTTTGTGTCCACTTCCTTCTCTAATCTTAATTTTTTGACCTTATAATTGATCCCGCCTTGAATCTTGAAATAAAACCTTGCATTGAAACAAGTTAATTGCATACTGTGGTGAACCAAATTCTAAGATCTTGCAATACTTTGCTTACTTTTAATGTTTAATCACCTAACCAGCTTATAGACCACAACAACGACGACTACAGCGCCGACAGGTAGGTTGAGAAAAGAATATTTCTATGCGATTCATGGCCTTTAAGCTTGTGGCCAATGCACTTTGACGAATCCACCACTCACCATTGATACAGCATCAACAGGGACAACTGCATTTGCAAGCGGTTTGTTTGGGTTGAATATGGGTGTCGTATTTTCTCTAATAGTGCTCCGTAAGCTTCGCCTAAATTGCTCGAAATCTTGAAAACCGTTTATCAGAACCTATCGATGTGGGATCGGAAAATGTAGCTGACGATGAGATCTTGTGGGGGATTTAAGTGTTGAGTTTCTAGGAAAACTTGGAATCCATAAAATAGTCATTAACTCGGCTACTATTAGGGAAAATAAGGTATTACAAGTCTGCTCCACTTTAATGCCTTTTTCTAAGAGGTACCTTTTTCAGAAAGCTACCATGATCAACCACCAAATTCAATTAGCCTAATTTTTGAATCACAAAGCTCAAACAAAGAATAACAGCTCATAAAGATACCAAAATCTGATCAAATGATCTAGCTGATCAAATGTAAACTGGCGGCTACGGTAGTTTTCTAAAATTTGTACCTTTTAGAAAAAGCATTACTTAAAAGAAATGCACTCTAATTACAATATTGTTTTTGCTTGGTGTTATTGTTAAATTTCAGATGTTCTTGGAACAAATGCGCAAGGTTGTGCGACAAGGACGCTCACTTGTACATCAACTGCTCCAGGAGGCTTTCAAGCGACGATTTCGGTAAGTTTCAAAATCAAAGTTTATTGTTTACATTGGTAACTGTAGTGATTATTGTTGGTTTAGATATAATCTTTATTACAGCGATAATAGTTGGTTCAGTGGTTTGAGATTGGGAGAGTAGAGACACTCCACGGCACACCTCGGCAGCTCGTTCACATTGCTTTTATACAGGGTGCGTCATAATTATTGCAACAAGAGTTCAAAGACCGTTTTCCAAACAGCTTTCTTATTTTTTTTGCCCCCTTTTTTGTTGTGTTGCGTTCTATCTTCTTTATTCTTGCCTAATTGCCTCCCGCTCACACGAAGAAAACGGTTCAGGACTGATGTGTGGCCAACTTTCCCTCAGTGATCACCAAGGATGAATGGCCTCCAAACTCACCGGATCTCAATGTGATGGACTTTTCCATTTGGGCAATCTTAGAGGCTAATGTCTGCTCTTTGACCTTGAAGAAGTCTTTGACCAAAGGATGGAAGGCGACTCCTCAAGATGACATTCGGGCCGCAGTGGAGGCATATCCGAACCGATTAAGGGCTGTTATCAAGGAAAAAGGCGGTCATATCGAATGATCTCTTGTTTCCTTATTTGTTACTGTTAAATAAAGCTATTTGTATTTAAAAATCTTCTTCCAGTGAAACTTCTTGGTGTGCAATGCCTTGAGTATCTTGTTGCAATAATTATGACGCACCCTGTACGGAACTCAGGCATTGGTCTCGTCTTGCACACAATGGAGTTGAACGGATAGCGACGCATATTAAATCTCGCACAATAGGCGTTCGTCAACATAGGTGCCTGGCCATTCCCATGGCGATCTCGATCACGAGATCGTCACGACACTAACTATAAGCTTTTTATTTGCGAAGAATCCAAATTGCTCATGTCAATTGCTCATGTCAATTGCTCATGTCAATTGCTCATGTCAATTGCTCATGTCAATTGCTCATGTCAATTGCTCATGTCAATTGCTCATGTCAATTGCTCATGTCAATTGCTTTTATCATAAAAATTTCAGTTTGACATGGATACACATGGGACAGCCATTGGTACTCCAACCGCCACCGCCACTATTGTATGCAATGCAGCTGGAAATGGATGGGATTTGACTGCAAACGGGGCCACTGTTCAAATTATGGCAGTTGGATGTTTTGGAGTGACTTGTGCGAATACACCGAGCGCTTGTCCTGGAAAATAGTGAATTGATTGGGAAAGGTTTCTATTTGCTTTTTTCTTTCATTTTTGCGAACTAAACTTTGACTCAATTCAGAATTTTTGAATCGAAATAACTGGCTTTTTAAAATATTTCTTTACAATCTTTACTCCTTTACTTTATTTCTTTACTTTATTTCTTTACTTACTTACTTACTTACTTCCTTCCTTACTTACTTCCTTACTTCCTTACTTACTTCCTTCCTTCCTTCCTTACTTACTTACTTATTTACTTATTTACTTACTTACTTACTTATTTACTTATTTACTTACTTACTTACTTATTTACTTATTTACTTATTTACTTATTTACTTATTTACTTACTTAAATCTTTACTCCAATTTGAAGTTCGGAGTCGCTCCAAGCCTATGTGGATCTTATAGAATCGATCACGGAGATCACAAATATGTAAAAAATTTTTACCAAAGATCCTGCAAACGCGAGATATTCAGGTTTAAAGTTTTAAGGCTCCTTTTTGAGGCTCTTTTACAAAGCTGTATCAGATGTAGCGGTGGGAAAGAGGATAGCATGATACGAACATACGAAATTTTTGATCCTAGTTCATTTCCCCTGTACGCTATACTTTTCGGAAATAATTTTCTTCTTAAAGATATTTAAATAAAATGAAATGACGCATATGTATATGGTTTTGCTTTTATAATCCTTAATTTGCAATGCAGCTTTTATAAGTTGTGTTTTTAAGCAGAAAACGTTGCTCTCGTTTAGGAAATGATGAATTGTAATCAAAATTTTGGCGTAGAGCGGAAACGAGTTCTGACCAAAATCAAAAAAAAAAAATTAGTATACAAGCACACTATCCTCTAGGTTTGCGCAAATTATTTTTTTTTTGCGGATTTTACGATCTCTGTGGTCGACTTTATAAAATCCACGGCGATTCCGAAATTCATGTTGGAATCATTCCCTTTTTCTATAATGAAATTGCATTAAATTTTGCTTTCTTTGTGGTTAAAGCGTTTTTTAAAAGGTGATCTTTTGAAAAAGTGGATGCAATAATGACTCAAGAGGTTTGGCCAGGGCTACACAGTGATTAGAAATCATCCAGGCAAAGCTTTTTGACTAGATCTTCAGATGAACTAAATAAAAATACCGGCTCTTGCGTAATTTCCGGGTTTTTTAAAAGAATCCGGGATTTTAAACGGGTCGTCACATTACTGGAGCAACGTACTTCAACAGCTATTGTACTTAAAGGCGCCAAATAAGTCTGTTACAAATCTATTGAATACCATAGCTTGTATGTGGCTTTGTTTACCTTTATCTAATGGACCCTTGGATTACAATAGCTTTTAGAAACATCTGGATTACGGTAGCTTTTGATACGGTAGATTACGGTAGCTTTTGATTATGGTAGCTTTCGCTTATGGTAGATTACGGTAGCTTTTGATACGGTAGATTACGGTAGCTTTTGATTACGGTAGCTTTCGCTTACGGTAGATTACAGTAGCTTTTTCTAGAGACCACCTTTTTTAGGAAACACATGGTAAAATGAAACACAACTACTTGCAAAAATGAGTACTTTATGAGTTTAAATAATATTCAGGCCAATAAAAGCTCTCAGCAAAAAGAACTTTAGAAAAATCATGACAACAATGTAGCTAACCATTGAAACAAGCAACTTGAATGTCTTTTTGAGTGTGACACTCAAAAACTCAAACCGGAATAATTGAACATCAAGACTGCTCACAGACTGCTCACAAGAACACTCTCGTTCTTCGCCTTAAGTCCTTCAAAATTCGGTCACTCAATGACAAAGTGATCAAAGAAAAAGAAATAAAGAAAAGATTTCAATCCATTTTCAATCCTCAAAGATTGTGAACGTGAAAAACTAGATTTTGAGCTGAATTTTTGATCGTTTTCAGCTATTTTCAGCCGCCATATTTTACAGAATTTGAAATTTCTTTCTAGAAACAATTCTAAAGTTCTGAGTGTTTGATTTGAATTCGTTTTTTTAAGAATTTTCTTACAGATTCAATCGCTTTACTTCTTATTTGAGTCATTTTTGTTTGTGCTAATAAAAGTTGATATTTTATTTGTTTTTATTTGTTCATTTACGTTTATTTTTTTATTGATTGCCGTAAATACTGTAATAGTACCCCCGCCCCATAATGACGGTGCGGAGTGTTTCGTAGTCTAGCTTTGAACGAGTTTTTCTCGACACTGATTTATGCTACAATGCCCGCTTAGGTATCAAAAAATAGCCCTGAATTTCAGCCATTTTTTGATACCTAAGCGCGCATTGTAGCATAAACCAGTGTCGAGAAAAACGCGTCCAAAGCTAGACTACGCAATACTCCGCACCGTCCTTATGGGAGTGGGGTCTTGGCTTGGCTGCCATTTCAAAATGTGTTCAGGTTCAAGTTTGGCTTGGTCTAGATAAGGAACGAGCTGCCCCGAACTGAAAATTCCTACCGTAAATACTATAATAGTGCCTCACCCCCATAATGACGGTGCGGAGTATTGCGTAGTCTAGCTTTGGACGAGTTTTTCTCGACACTGGTTTATGCTACAATGCGCGCTTAGGTATTATTATTATTAGGTATTATTATTATTAGGTATTATTATTATTAGGTATTATTAGGTATATATTAGCGCCGATTGTCAAAACTGCAACTTGATTGAATAGTTTTAAATTGTAAAGAAAAAGGTGGAATAATTTCGATTTTGGCGATTTCAAGAGCGCGAGTACAAGACGTTTTTAATAAAATCAAAATCAGATCATTCTTTCAATTTAGATGTGATAAGATGTAACTTTTTAAAGTCTTGATTCAAGATCACTTACCGTAAATCCTGTAATAGTACCCCAGCCCCATAATGACGGTGCGGAGTGTTGCGTGGTCTAGCTTTGAACGAGTTTTTCTCGACACTGATTTATGCTACAATGAGCGCTTAGGTATCAAAAAATAGCCCTGAAGCCCCCTTCAGCTATTTTTTGATACCAAAGACGCATTTTTTGAAAGTACGGGTGCTTTGAAAAAAATTAAATACTAAAAAACTTTTGCGACTACGCGACTGTACGAGGGCGGCGGGGTACTATTACAGTATTTACGGTACAATCTTTACTTCTTTACTTTATCTCTTTACTTACTTACTTACTTACTTATTTACTTATTTACTTACTTAAATCTTTACTCCAATTTGAAGTTCGGAGTCGCTCCAAGCCTAGTCCAAGTTCGGAGTCGCTCCGCACCGTCATTATGGGGGTGGGGTACTATTACAGTATTTACGGTAAGTGATCTTGAATCAAGACTTTAAAAAGTTACATCTTATCACATCTAAATTGAAAGAATGATCTGATTTTGATTTTATTAAAAACGTCTTGTACTCGCGCTCTTGAAATCGCCAAAATCGAAATTATTCCACCTTTTCTTTACAATTTAAAACTATTCAATCAAGTTGCAGTTTTGACAATCGGCCATGAGAAGTTGAATAGACTTTTAAAAGTTATATCTTATCACACCTAAACTGAAAGAATGATCTGATTTAGCTCAAATGATCATTTTTTGGCTTCTTTATAACCCCGCTGTGTCCCCTAAGTGCCCCCTACATTTCGAGTGCCCCACCCCGCTGTGTCCCCCAAAATGCCCCCCCTACATTTCGAATGCCCCACCCCGCTGTGTCCCCTAAGTGCCCCCCTACATTTCGAATGCCCCACCCCGCTGTGTCCCCTAAGTGCCCCCCTAAGTTTCCCACCCTACATTTCGAATGCCCCACCCCCCTGTGCCCCCCTAATTGCCCCCTACATTTCGAGTGCCCCACCCCGCTGTGCCCCCCTAAGTGCCCCACCCCGCTGTGTCCCCCAAAATGCCCCTGGAGTGGACATCTACTTAAAATGGGTTGCTGATGCATGGGATTCAATTTCGAAAGAAGTCATTCGTCGATCCTTCAAAAGCTGTGTTGGAATCGATCCAAATGGTGCCAACATCCAGCTGATTTACTGTTTTAAGTACGATGGCGCGCTTCCTACAGGACTACAGTTACTCAGGGAGTCACATGTCGAAAAAGAAGTCGACGAGCGTCTGGATTTGCTTACTTCAGCAAATCTTCTCGATTTTACTCAAGAAACATAAAAATGTGAAGAGGAATTTAGATCTGATCTAGATTTTTAAATTTCTGGCTTTTTTTCCTTAATTCTTGTCGAATTTTACTTGTTTTCGTAAATAAATAAATTGAAAACTGTTTCTTTAACCCATTCGAAACCGCAGCGTTTTTCCTTTTTTTTCGTCTTTGGACCAAGCCCTTTTTTGACATTTTTGACTCCGAAACAGTTTATTTATGGTTGGAAAGATGTAAGAGAGTCTCCTAAACCATTTATTTTTGATGAAGAACGATTTGGATTTGACTTCAGTACTTTTCAAGATCCTATCGATTATTATTCTTATTTTATCGACGACAAATTAATCAATATGTTAGTAGGCGAGTCTAATAAACATGGAAAAAGGAAAACAAACTGGCAGGATTTCGATGCAAAATCTTTCAAGCTCTTCCTGGCTCTGTATCTTCAAATGGGAATCGTCAAATTACCGAGGATTCGTGACTACTGGAGTAGCAGGCCTGGATTAGGAGGATTTTCCCACATGTCCCACATTATGTCAAGAGGAAAATTTGAATCTATTCTTCGAAACCTGCGCTTTTGTGATAATGAACTGGATTCTGCAGGAGATCGGCTTTATAAGATTAAAGCTGTTATGGAACATTTCAATGCAAAACCAGATTCCGGGTAAATATGAAACATCTTTTTTGCCCACGTAATTTGTAGATCTGCTACAATTGGAATATACATGTAATACTGAAAAACAGCAAAAAAAACCAATTAATTGAATGAAAATAGCTCAATTAGCGCTGCAGTGAATAATCGCTGCAGCGGTCCGTTCCTGAGTTTTTGTTGCAGCGATTATTCGCTGCAGAAGTTTCGAATGGGTTAATGAGTTGTAATTATCTTATATTTTCCAGTTTTGATCATGCGA